ACACACCATACAATATGTTATCCAAAAGTCCAAGACTCTACATAAAATAAACCAACCTTTATCTTATTTTCAAATCGTTTAAATTTTTACGGATATAAGCAACATACCTTGTGCAATCTGTGATATTTCGAGGAGTTCCATTTGGCAAAATTTATATACCTCCTATTTTAGGCACCAAAAATCAAGTGTGAGAATTTTATATTTTTTTAGTATCAAAATCCACCTCTTCATTGGTTTCCACTGGCGCCCAAACATGTGTTTTTTATTTTTTTATTATTTTTTTTGTTTTTTTTTTGGAAAAACTTATTTTTGTTTTTTTGTATGAAAATTCAAATCCCACAACTCATTTTTGCCTTCCATGAAAAAAAATCCGTAATCAACACACAACATCCATCCCTGGCATAGAAGAGTTTTCCAGTTGGCCTGCCTTCCTTTATGGCCACGTATGCGGGGGTGAGAGTGATTAACGATAGATGCAAGATGCCGATGATTTGTTCGGTTAGTGTAACAGAAAGAGAACACAAGAGTTTGAATGTCCATTGTTGTATTTTATTTTTGGGGGGTATTGTTTGGTGTTGACGACTTCAGCCCAAGTGGAACTGCTGCGGTTTTAACGTCATTTTTTTTTTTTTTTGTGAGTAATCGCCGTAATAAAAATGCAACTTTTCCCAGTAACATAGACGAAAAAAAAAAAAGAAATGTAAAACTCAAAACGCATAAACCAAATTCCCCAAAGAATATAAATTATTTCTGATGCGGCATTGTTCTGGCTTGTGCCATGGAAGGTATCATCACCATGAACGCATTTTTAACCTCTGCCAGTGGGGGGATGAGGAAGGATAATTTTATGGTGTAACGGAAATATAACATTCATTACAATGGATAATAACAAAATTAATGTTTTCTCCGCAAATTACAAATATTTTCAGGATAATCATAAAAATCTGAATGAGATTTTTTTGTGTTATGACTTGCAGGTCATAAATGTCTTGACATCCCGGGGAGAATTCAAATAGCATTTAATTTGAATTTACTTGACACTTTTTAGGGATGGGTACATATTTTATATTTTGCAGCATTTCTTTGGGTGCAATGATATTATTCTCTTTTTAATTGAAATTTATTTATTAAAATCTGTCCGTTTTTTAAATATTGCATTTGGAAAGGAATAAAAACTTGTTTGCATTTTTAGAATGAAAATGAAGGGATTTCAAAATGAAAAAAAAAAAAAATATATATATATACACTGCTCACATATCATTAATGGTCGATATATGCTTTTAATATCATAGATAGATAGGCGTAAAAAATCTCTTATTTTACATTTTTCCAATTTTTGTAAAAAAATATTTACTGGCAAAATCGACAACACATAGGAAGCTATCTATTTTGATCTATTTTACTAATTTTTCATTCCCGAATTCTCAAATGAGTTAATTACCTTAGTACAATTTTGCCTGTTAGGTATTTTATTAGTTTGACGCTTAAACATTTGCTGGAACACAGCGTATATCTCATAATGCCCAATAAACAAATAGAAGACTGACGTGAGATTTTGGAACTTTGTTCGAATACCTTAACAAATTCTTGCTAGTTTTTCTGAAATAAAGAGAATGTGTCAATACTTAACACTGCTTGAAAAAAAACGTGAGTAAACAATTGGTTAAGATACAATCGTGAATAAACATCGGTTAGGTGGAAAACTATTTCTAACGCCTGGTACTTAAAAACAAAAATCTGTTATTCAATTTCTTTAAAGCTTAAACTTCCCAATGTGTCAAATAAACTAAAGTTTGGTCGGAAGACTTTTAGAAAATTTTGAAATCTCAAGTCGGAAAATTCGGATTTTTCCTAGAATTTTGTATATACTTTTTTTGGGAAACCGCTAAACTATTTCTACAGAAGAAGAAAAAAGAATTACGCTTTTGAAAAACCTTTGTCCCATCTTCTTGAACAGTTTTTATAAAAACTTTGTCCTTTTCTAAGACTTCCCATCAGAGGTATAATATTTTTGTCGGATTTCTTAGTTGAAGCTTCGATATTAAAAGCTTAGATATTTTTATACCCTCAGCCCTATTGCTAGAGAGGGTATATATCATTTGATATGATCGAAAAGTGCCTACTCGAAATATCGGTTTTAGACCCTAGGCCTCTTTTGGCCAAATCCGTTTCGGTACATTTAGTGTCGATCTAGCGTTGTCCGTCCGACCGGGAGTATCTGATTTGGTCCAAACTTGGTACATCGTACTATTTTTGTCAAACTTATATCTAGTTCGGAGAGGGCAATATCAGTCCAAACCTTCTGGTACCTCCCCCGAAAAAGGTCGAAATTTTCTGCACAAAAAGAGAAGCGATAATCCGAATCCTAACTTTGCAAATCCAAATATTTGTAAATCTAGGTCAGGTGCAAAAATGGATAATATCGACATTCAACATTTGATTAACATGAAGCTCATAAAACGCGAAATTAACATCCGATTGCATTCAGACTTGGTACATCTCAATATTTCCATCAACACAAGATCTGTTATAACGATGGAAGAGATCGGACTATTTCTTCTGGAAGCTCCCCACATTGGGTTCAATATTTCGATAAACAAAACGATAAGAAGAAAGCGAAATACAAGGTGAGATGAAAAAACTGAAACCAACTTCAGACTGATGCCATTTCTAAGCCACTTGTCCGACAGCAGTTAAGCTGTCATTCCAGTGACAGCTCATTATATTGCTTACAAGCGTAAAAAGCATTTTCTTGAGAATTTTCCAGAAAAAAGTTATTCGTAATGGAATCTAAGCGTGATAGTGTGATTTCTTTATATTTGGCTGGAAAACCACAAGTAGCTATCGGTATAGCACTCCAGCATTTAAAGGTGAATAAATCTTTTGTATCTCGTCCCGACGTCATGGCAGTCGATGGAAGAAAACAGCAACATCAGCAGAAATGGTTCGAAAAGTAACGAAGCGATTCGCGTCGCAGTGGCCTTTCGGCCCCTCGTAAGCTGAACATATCGCAATATTCCACTCGGGAAATATTAAAAAATGAGCTCGGGGTAAAGCCATTGAAATTCAAAAAATTGCAAGAACTTACACCGCAACAGAAAAAAATAGACTCAAAAGAGCTAAAGAGTTAATTCGCTTAGCCGAAACTGGTGAACTGCCGAATTTGGTTTTCTCCGATGAGAAAACATTCGTTTCCAGCAGTTGGTAAACAAACAAAATGATCGTGTTTACCTGTCAAAGAGGTCAGCTGAAAATGTGCACCTTCGGTTGGCCACCAGAACTCAAGCGTCGGCCATGGTGATGGTGTAGGCCGCCATAATAGCCGATGGTCGCTCTCCGCTCGAATTAATCGGCTGTGGCATTAGAATAAATGCCGAATATTATCGCAAACATATTCTGGTGGGTGTATTAAAGCCTTGGACACACAAACATTTAAGCGGAAGACCTTGGACATTCCAGTAGGACTCAACACGCGCCACCCAACAATGGTTGCAAAATGAAGTTCCTCGCTTTATTTCCAGCACACAATGGCCACCAAAATCTCCGGATACCAATCTGTTGGACTATTGTGTCTGGAGTATTTTGGAAAGCAAGGTTGGCACTTAAAAATACCAAAGTGTCGATCACCTCAAGCAAGTGCTTCGCCGGGAATGGGCCAAAATACCGCAGAGCAACATTCGGGCAGCGTGTGAAAAATGTAAAAATTATGCGTTTGACTTTGTTACAGTCTTTTTTATCTCACAAATTTGGACTAAATCGGACCTCCCTTCATAAGTTATCATGCGAATCACGTTTCAAATGTCCTGAATCGCATTTCGTCCATAAAGCACTTATTTAAGGATATATACTCCCCGCATTCATATAACTAAATTTGACCCCTTCTTCTTTCGGAAATACTCCTCGGAAGAATAATTCTTAGCCCTACAGTGTATATACATTCTGTATATATATTCTTTATTAGCATAAAATTCTATGTCCTCTATGGAAACGAAAATTGCAGTCAATGCATTTTGGGCCCTAGAATATTTGGTATTGAAAACGGTATCGCCATTTTTTTATTTTATTTTTTTTTATTTTTTGTTGGGGGTGGTTTTGATCCCATTCGTCAACCTAATTTTCTGTGAATCGATAGTTTATGTTCCCTTTTTGAGACATGATTGTACTTAATTGTCTCATAGCCCTGAGTTGTGGTATAGATCCCATATAACGGTATCCTCGATATTCGTTATTTCGATAATTTTAACCACATTGTTCAACGGAATCGTTCAAAGTTGGTGTTTGGGCTTAGCATAAGGTGCCATATCCTATGACAGAAAAATAGTTATACAGGTATTCGGCATTTTGATGATTTTTCCAAAAATGTTTTCAACGGAAAAAAAAAAACAAAAAATGTATTGACCCATATAACTCGAAACCTAAGTATTGCTTTCCAAATGGTGAGGGGTATTAAAAGTCGGCCGACCTTTATTGCTTATTTATTTTTTATTTTATTTCATTTTGTTTTTTTTTTTTTTTTTTCAAAAATGCAAGCATCAAATTTTTTTGGCTACCTAAGTTTGAATATATTTAATGTTGAATGATATCAATACTTTGGAGTCGTTGTAGTAAAAAACTGGGGATTTTGACCAAAATAATTGAATTTTAAATTTAATCATAATCGGTAGTATTCCTCTTAATTTATTTATTGATTTTGAGAAAGAAATAATCCTAAATCTTTGCATAGTTAAAAAATAAGTATATCATTTTAGAAAATATTAAATGACATACCGGTTCCACATATTTTGTGTCATAAAGAAAACCAATATTTTAAATGCATTTAATAAATCTTTTCTTTTAAACTTTACAATTTATAAGAATAGCTGGGTTGATTTTTTATTTAACTCCAAAAAAGCACAATATTCTTAACATAAAACAGTCATTATAGGTTCCATACCCCATGTTCGTAGTCAGTTTTTAACAACTATCAAAAAAGCATAAAAAATTAAAATTGTTGTACTTACTAGTATTGTGAACCGCCAAGACTACTGCTGCCACCGCCTTGCTGCATACTATTTCCATCCATATTGCCCATGCCCAAATAGGGTGGATTATAACGTCCTCCCGTATCGACATTGGTGATTCCCGTACGATGACCGGGCACTATGATACCCAAGTTGGCTAAGCCGGCCAGGGCATGACCATGATGACCGCCTCCGCCGCCACCACCTCCCATACCCATGGTGCCACCTCCACCACCGTGAGAACTCATAGAACCGCCTCCCGAATGACCAATGATACCGCCAACACCACCACTGCTGCCCAGGGAACTCAAGACGCCACTTAGGGCCGGAGATAGGACGTTACCATTTGCATTCGCATTCATGAGGGAATTCAGCAGAGAGCTATTGCCAGCCAGCTGATTGAGATTTGTGTTCGTTAGCTGTTGTTGTTGTTGCTGCTGCTGATGATTATTAACTAGGCCTCCTATATTTTGTCCAGATGTCAGAGTATTCGAACCCATAACACCCGGTCCATTTGGGTTCTGTTGTTGTTGCTGCTGCTGTAAGCCTCCAGAGTTTGTTTGTGTCGATTGGGTTAGGGTAATGTCATCACATGTTGAGAGTTGTAAATGCCATAGGGCCAGCAGGGCCATGGTTAAGAACCATAAAATATGCATTTTTGTTGTTTTTGTTAGTTGTTTAAATATTAAATAGAGAAAATGTAGACTACTTTTTGGCTTTTCTTTCTATTTGTAATTGCTAAAGTCTAAGTTTAGGCTTGATTTAGTTGTGTATTTTGTTCTAAGTACTGGGAAGCAAGTTGGTTGGGAGTTTTAATAAATTATTAGCACTAGTTATTTATTATTATAAATAATTACTAAACTTTATATATTTTTTATGAATTATTTTATTTTTATTTTAAGAAAACGAACGGATATTTGAGATTTCTTTTGGCGTTTTTTTTCAAGAGGATTTTGGTGGGTTATTTTTAATACTTGTTGTTGTTGTGGTTGCTACCGTTTGTATTGTTAAATAGTTTGACACATTTCTTTCTTTATTATTTTATAATTGTTGTTGTTGTTTTTTTTCTGTTTTGTTTTTTTAATTGCCTTAATGGCCTTATTCCTCGGAAGCCTGTTCTCAGGTTTCTCAAGATTTGTTTTTGTTGTTCACAAAAGTTCAGCGGTTCTGTGTGGTTATTGTTCTTGTACAACAACTTTATGTTTTTGTTGCTCAACTGGACATCACTTCACCTCAATGCCGGCTATGTAAGAAGAAAAAAAGATCTAGAGGATCCGTTTGTTTTAGATTTTTACCGCCATCCATGAAAACCTGTGTATAGGTGTGAGAGTGTGTCTGTGTGTGTTTGTGACTTCGGAGTCCGGCACTTGTTCACACAATGTTGTTGCTGGCCAGCGACGGCATGCGGACAAATATGATCACTCTCAAACATTCACACACATACAGGTAAGATCATCGTCATCATCATCTTCATCCTCCTGATCGGCATCATAGTCATTCACTTCAATTTATACGATTATATGGAAGAAGAAAACTTGTCTTCACTCTCTGTGTTCCAACGTTTGTTGTCTTTTTGTCGGTTCTTGTTGTAGTTATGGTTGTGTTGTTGTTGTTGCTGTATGTTACTTTTGATCGCTGGAAAAAAGCCTTTAAAAAAGATCAAAAGGCCGACAAAATGCGCGCATTAACTTCACGAAAACGTTTAAACACCATCATACACCGCGCACAGCGATTAAAATAACCCAAACATGCACGCACACACCGACAGGCATACGACACATACGGCAGACCTCAAACAGACAGCTTCGGAAGGCTTGCCCTAAAACACGTTTATTTTCTATAATCGGTGAAGTCCACCATTACCAGCACCACCACAAGATTACCACGGATTGTTTATATAGAGTTTGGCTGGCTGTCTTTGGCAAAAAACAAAACACGGATCGGTTCCAGCAAAAAATAAAAATAAACACCAACAGATCGAGAAGAGGAAGAAGAAGACTTGTCTGTTGTTTATATTCGGTTGACGATAATGGTACACTGACTGACTCGCCGTAGAGTAATACCAGGTGATTTATGTTTATGTTGTTCGACTATTGTTGTTATTCCCGTTTATCGGAAGTCACCTGGAACAAGACCACCACCATGCATTTTTTGGGACCGGCAAATTTTCTTTTAATTTTTTCCAAAACTTCAAATAACACCTCTTCAATCAATCAAACGACCAGTGGGAAACTTGTAAGTTTAACCCTTTCAAAAAGGGGGACCCGCACCGCACCACACACGAAACACATTTAGCGTAATTTTGTTGTAATTGATAATAGTTTGATAAAAACGAAACAACGACAAATAATCCGAAACTCGATAAAATCTATTTTTTTCCGGCTTGGAACTATTTTATTCCTTCTATGAATTTTCCAAAATTAAAAAATTTTTCTTTTCCACAATTTTCAAATTCAATTTTTTTCTGTTACGCACTGTTTTTTGTTTTTTATTTAATTTCTATTATTTTCTTTTTTCCAAATTCAAAATTTCAATACCGTTCTCTCACTGCACCAAAGACGTTCATCGCGTTTGCTCGTTCGTACTCGACTGAATTTTTCGTATTGGCCTGACCATCGTTTTAGTAATACACCAGCAGCAACTTCGGCGTTTCCATCATCATCGTCGTCGCCGTCGTCGTTGTTACTTTGCCATGAAACATCATTATCGTGTTTGTTCTATTCCGACTTGCAACATGTCGGCCATACACACACAAAACACAAGCCATAGTAAGTCTTCTAGCTGGAATGGTTGGAATACTGACTGTGTGGTTTGCCTGTTGGTTGGATGGTTGGTGCCACCGTATTTGTTGCATGGGGAAAATACTGTTTGTTGTTTGCTCTTCGGCGGTGTGTGCCGTCGTTGTTGTTGCTGTTGTTTGCCACCACTCTGTTACTTCTTGTTGACGTTTAACCCTGTTTTGCTAAGGTGCAACAATTGCGTGCATTTACTTTGACACATTGGGCGAATGTGTGCAAGGGGGTGAAAATTATATACAAAATACAATTTTATTTTATATATTGGTAAAAACTCAATGATATTAACAAATATTTAGAAAATTTTAATGGTATTTCTGTAACTAGTAGGAAACATTCTAAAAAAAATTATTCTAATATCCAGCAAAAACTTGGGAGTTATATGAGCCGAATATCCCATTGAAAGGTAACGTAAACAAACTACTTTCTGCATTAGAGATAGGTGGAATAACCCATATTCCGTAAAAATAAGAGCTTACTTTCCTCATTACCGAGTAATGGGTAACGTTGGCACAAATTTGCGCGTCTGATTTTTAGGCCGAAGGCTATGAGTTCGAGATTACTTTCCACATTACAGTTAGCTGGAATAACCTATATTCCTAAGAAAAATATTAAGTAGAAGAGCTTACATTCCTCATTACCAAGTAATGAGTAACGTTGGCTCAAAGTTTGTTTGACTGCCTACAAAGACGAAGACTTTGTGTCCGAGACACGTCGTTGAAGAAAAACATTATAAAATAGTTGTTGTTGTAATGTAACATTCGAAACAAACCTTTATATTCGTAACAGTAGCACAATATATATTTAGTTAGTTTATATACAAAATAATGAGATTGCGAGTTCAATACCAGAAACTAACAAAGAAAAAATGTGGTAAAATTAAATATTAATTTTAAAATTAAACAAAAATTGTCTACATGTCGACCAGATGCCCTTATGAAAATAAAGGGTTAATAAGTTGATTTGAAAGTGGTTATGATTGTCATAACTTGATTATGGATCCTATTATTTGGTAATAGGATTCCGGCTGATTTAGGAATTTTAAGGAATGAAATCAAGCTTGAAAAGGATGGGAAATTCTTTACCGAAAATGGGAACGAATTTGAAAATTATATTTAATATTGTTTCATTCGTAGTCGTGGCCTGTTGTAAAACTAGATTTGTGAAATTGGGTGCGGAATCCGAATTGTTAGGATGGCAACACGATAAGTCATAGAATGGTACTCGTACTGTGTGCTCTCTGCCTTTAAAAGGAAGAATTAAATTTTGTGCATTTTTAGATTTTTGTCAAACTAAGTTCGAAAATGGATAATATCGGTTCCGCCTTCTTTTGATGGGTAAGGGCTAAGTTAGGTTGAAATATTGACAAGCCTAAGTTAGGTTGAAATATACAAGTGGAGAGCGACCATCGGTTGTTATGGCGGGCCACACCATCACCATGACCGGCGCGCTTAAAAACTGCGGGACAACGAATATTTTCTCATCAGAAAAAGCCAAATTCGGCCAAGCGAAGCAACTCTTTAGCTCTTTCTGTTTCGGTGTAGGCTCTTGCACTTTTTGAAATTTCAATGGCTTTACCCCGAGCTCATTCTTTAATATTTCCCGAATGGAAAATTGCGATATACGCGGGTTTTGATCAAGTCGCTTCTTTACTTTTCGGATCATTTCTGCTGATGTTGCTACGATCGTAAAAAAGCATTTTGGTGAATTCAAGCGTGATAGTGTGATTTCTTTACATTTGGCTAGAAAACCACAAGTGGCTATCGTTAGAGCACTCCAGCATTTAAATGTCAATAAATCTTTTTTGTCTCGTACCATCGCTCGTTACCGTGATACTGGTAGCGTATCCCGACGTCAAGGAATTGGACAGAAGAAAACAGCAACATCAGCAGAAATTATTCGAGAAGTAAAGAAGTGACTTGATCAAAAAATGGCTCGTGAGCTGAACATATCGCAATATTCCATTCGGCAAATATTGACAAATGAGCTCAGGGTAAAGCCATTGATATTCCAAAAAGTGCAAGAACCTACACCGAAACAGAAGGAAAATAGACTCAAAAGAGCTAAAGAGTTGCTTCGCTTAGCCGAAACTGGTGAACTGCCGAATTTGGTTTTCTCCGATGAGAAAATATTCGTTGTCCAGCAGTTTGTAAACAAACGAAATGATCGTGTTTACTTGCCAAAGAGGTCAGCTGAAAATGTGCACCTTTGGTCGGTCACCAGAACCCAAGCGCCGGCCATGGTGATGGTGTGGGCCACCATAACAGCCGATGGTCGGTCTCCGCTCGTATTAATCGACCGTGGCATCAGAATAAATGACGAATATTATCGCGAAAATATTCTGGAGGGTGTATTAAAGCCTTGGGCACGCAAACTTTTTGGCCACAGACCTTGGACATTCCAACGGGATTCAGCCCCATCTCACTCAGTAAGCGCCACCTAAGAACGGTTATAAAATGAGGTTCCTCGCTTAATTTCCAGCCCACAATGGCCACCAAAATCTCCTGATACCAATCCGTTGCACTGGATTGTGTCTGGAGTATTTTGGAAAGCAGAGTTGGCATTTAAAAAATGTCGCAGAGCAACAATCGGCCAGCTCGTTTCATTGGCCCTTTGAGGGTCATAATTCGTGCCTATGCTTATAACAATGGTCGGTACAGTCGGTACCTTTTGTTACCCAATTGTCCAAACGGTTCATCTTATTTCTTCCCAGTACACAAGTAGTTCAAAAAGTTCAAAGTTTGAGCTCTTATTGATCGCTTAAAAATGTGTTCCATTTTGTACCTTTCGGACCCTTAAAAATTCATGTTTTATCACACCTTAATTTAACAAATTTTAGCACTTTTTACTTGACACACCAAAAAAGGAAAAAATATCATTTTGTACCTTTTAATTATTTTAATTAGCATACAAAAGAATTTAACGAATCATCACCGTTTTTCTCCTCCCTACACAAAGATCGACCCCTTCCAAAATAAAAATATGAATCTTAACACAATTTCCAAAAAATTGCTCTCAATCCCAATGTCACTCCTTAATTGATCACACTCAATCTATCAATATCGATCGGTCATCTTTATTACCATGGTGTATATTTTAGTAGCTTTCATACTCAAAAAGTATGCAATTTTTACTATTTTGTGCAAAGGCTGAACCTCATTCAACGTTTAAAAGTTCTATCTCTTTTCCATCGCTCAATTGTGCCATTTGGTACCTTTTAGTACTTTTTGTAATCCTAAGATAGAAATTTTCAAAATCCCACTATTGTCAACCAATAATGACCGTCATGCAAAATTTCAATTTTCTAGGTCTTACCTATCTACCAATGGCAATTTTGTACCATTTTGTATCCTTGGTGATTCTTAGATCCTCTAAATACAAGTTTCTTCAAAAAAGTTTCCTTATCCTACCCAAGAGTGCCCCTCATAGAATTTTTAAGGTTTATTGCACCATTTTGTATCTTAATTTCCAAAATCTCTCCCTATTTCTTACGATGTTGTTCCTTTTTTATAATTACCGTAACCTTTAAGTTCCAAATATCAAGTTGGTCAACAACTCTACCCACCAGTAGTGACCTTCATGCCGCATTTACCGATTCTAGCTACATCTAATTTCATCTTTTCCCTGATGCGTCACTCAATGAATCACCTTACTTATCAATAAAGATAATGTACCAAAATCACAACCCATTGGATCAATGTACGATTTCGAGGAAAAGCATTAAACACAAATGTATTCCATCTTCGGAAAATTTCATTTTTGGAAATTTTCTAAAGTCCTATTCCATCCCATCTCTAATTATTTGATGCCGAAACCGCAAAATTTCGCCAGAGGATTCAAATCAATTTCCATCATTATTAAGTAGCATTCAATGAATTTCCCGAAATCGAATAGATTTTCAAACACGCACACCACACACACACACAGAGCAACAATTGTTGATATGACTGCAGGAGATATCTCAGAGAGCGACAGGATTCGAGATTGACGTTGTGTTATTGTTAGACCAAAACAGAAAAGAGAAAGTTGGCCCCGATGCTGGCTGCCTCCACAAAATAAGCGATAAAACAAATTTTAATGACGACTCTCTGATTGACAATGTGACGAAAAGGCATCGCTGGGATTGTAACATGACGTCACGTCACGTCAATGGATAATGAGCATGTAAACGATTCAGCTGCATCACTCACGGCGGCGGCGGCGGCTAAATTGTTGTTCAATCGCTCATTACATTGAGCATCATGTTACACTACGTTTCCATGGACGAACGTTTGACGGGGGCTGAATGACAGTGTTGGTGTGCGTGAGCGTTGGTGATACTTTTGATGAGTGATAATTGGAAATTGGATGCAGCGGAGTAGTGAGATGATATTCGTCAGTAGTAGTATTGGTGGTGTATGTTCCATAGACGTTTTTGGAGACTATAAAACCGAAAAAGGTTCTAATGTTGTCACAATGGTATGTGAAAGCCAAGCTGTTCGAAAAAGGGCGGTATTTTATCGATACCATTGATGATTGTGTCTCATTGCCCATAATCCTCTTTTAATGGCATTGACGATCATTAGGCTGGTACTCAAATAACCAAGAAATTTTGAATTTTTTCTTCCCGCTTTTTCTCGCTGTCATAAACAAAAGAGTTGCGCATGCGTAATGCGGTGTTTATGTGTGTATTTTTGTGTGTTCTTCCCAAATCTGATAGTCAAAGATTTTCCTTCATTTACTGGATTTTTATGTTTTTGGGAAAAAGTAAAAAAGAAAAATCTTAAGAAAATTTTCCA